GGCGCTCTACCAATTGAGCTAACCGGGAGGCGGTTAGCTCAATGGTGGATTCACTAATTTATCGATTGGTTGGTTTAGGTTTCTGTCACACTCATCTCCACTCAGCCTTCAAAGATCTCGCTGAGCTCACCTCAGGTCAAACCATTTCTCTTATAAATGACGGGGAACTGAAAAAGCTTAGTAATCTGACAGCAACTGTGCTTGATGGGACGAGTACTGTCAGTATGGGCCGTTCAAGCTCACGACGCAAGAAGAAACGGAGCCTAAAAAATACAACACCCAGTCGATATAACTTTCCCATTGATGAATCCATTGAAAAATTGACTATAACAGTAAGCACCACACGCCGGAGAACAAATGGTATGTGATTTTCTATTTCTTTGATAATCTTACACTCATCATCAGCCTGCAGAGCATGCGTAATTTTGGCAGGCAAGTGCTTAGTATTATCTTTATGAAAATCATAGCTGCCATCTTTGATAATAATAATAATAATAATAATAATAATAATAATAATAATATATTTATTATTGATAATATATATTTATCATTATTTATTATTAATAATATATTTATTACTGATTTTTAAAGTAGTGGAATGCTGGGTACAGAATGAATTTTTTTTTAACCGAGAGGGTGACTGGTCAAAAAGAAGCAAAGGGGAGGGGTGGGGCAAATGCAACTGCGAGCTTCCCAGCGTCATCTCGCCCTAGTGAGTTCCCAAATCGTCATTTCTTGATAACAGCCACAAGGGAATTTTGCAAGAAATCTTTCTTCTTTTTTCTTTTTTCTTTTTTTTTTCTTTTGACTTTTTTTACTAATAACTTCATACCTTGGAGATTGTGAGCGATTAAATTAAATCAACGAACTCGATTGAAATATGTATTAAAATCACCAAAGTTGCCTCTGCCTAATTCTTAACCTACGAGTTTCAAGAGTGTCAGTGTTTATCATTTCCCTTTTTTACTCGTTTCTTACTTATTTCTTTGTCTGTTATCCGTATACTTACTGTATTAGTTTTTTCATACTTACTTTTGAGTTGTTTTTTAAATGAAGGGCAAGGAATCACCCTAACAGACCCCGATAACATCGAAATTTCAGCTGAAAAGCTTAGTCTGTCCCAGATCTCTGTCTATCAGATCAACCACCCCAAGAGGGGAGACTGGACCCTGGTTGTGTCAGGCGACCACGAGTTTCAAGTTAAGTCGAGCAGTGAAACGAATGTCGACTTCGAGGTATATTTCATCACTCGAATACGGGTACGCGGGAGACAGACAACAGAAGTGCCTATCTCTAACCCAGTTGTAGGTAAGTTCTGTTTATAATTATAACGTAAATCACGTAAAATGCGCGCCATGCTCATCTTCGAACTAATACATGTAACAAGCAATCCTGTATTTCTTCAAGGTAAGCTGAATAAGATGCTCATCACTGTCGCTGGTTCTGAAAAGCTCAACACAAGCTCGTTACACTTACAACTCATTACCCCTGAAGGAGCTGGAATAAGTGGCGTCACGCTGCAGACAACTGACAATGTCCATTTCACCGCAAGCTTCACGCCTCTCACGAGCCAGCCATTCAAACTGCGGCTCAGCGGTATCACTCGTGTCGGGAACACTTTTGAGAGAATTTCTCGCCAGAAGATCAAACCCTCCAGGACTCTGCTCAGAGTAAAATACGCCAGTAATGATTACACACTTCCTTTAGGGAGAGTCACGTTTGTTCATTTTCAGATCTGCAATTTTGGCGCAACAGAGTATTTTGACGTGAAGGTCGTGAAAGATCGAATGGGTTTGATTATTACCCCACAAATTCCACCCAAACGCATCATAAAAGGTCGCTGCGCGATTATATCCGTCCACGCCAGAGCCACTCGTCCCCAGGACGTAGACAGGACAGACAACTTATTTTTGATGGTTAAGGGTCGCACATCAAAAGTTCTTGCTTCACAGGGAGTGCGTCTTTTTGTTGTACCCTAAGCTGAGATTTTGTGATCCAACCAGGTATTCCGTTGCCACAAATTAATAATCTTCCACTAAATTCAAGACAGGCAAGATCTCTAAATGAATTGAAAGGACTTTCAAGAAATCACTAGGATTATTATCGATTAGCTACATAGAGCACGACTTTCTAGAAGAGTAAGAGTTTCATAAATTAATTATTTCGCTTAGTCCGCTGAACAGTGATGATTAATAATAATTAAATTTTTGTTCTTAGCATTGTGTGCCTAATTAGTTTTTAATCTAGAATAATTAAAAAACGGTGGCGTGCTTTGAGGCTGTCAGAATCAATTTGTCCTACAGTAGTCTGAACAATCACATATGCTACTGAGTTATGGTTTTGTAAATCGGAATAAATGTCTTAAGAAGGGTCAAAATGAGAAGAAAAATCATAAATGAACAGGATACCCGTCGTGAATAGGCCTTTTGCTTCAAAAGTCTCGAGTTTTCGTGTTCTTGCGCTTTTTATCTTTCACATATTCATGCGATTGTTTCAATTTCTTTGGCATATCATTCCTGACAGGAGTTTTTTCTTGTGTTATCCTTTAAATTTGTACGCGGAAATTGACGCGGCAGGCCAAAATTGATTTTCTTCCGTATGTTTGACGTTTGACCGCTGTCTTAGACGACTTTGACTAGTTTTGTCGAAATAAGTTAATGGCCTAAATTGTCGCTCATTCACGTGTCTCGTTATCTCTGAGCGAGTTGCGTGACAAGACCAAACAATAACTGTCGTGTAGGCATGTGGTTAAAGAACAAAATACTTTGATTCACGACTCCACTTGTCCCTCCTCGATAAAGCGGCTTAAACGGCCATGATGGACTCCAATCACCTTTAGTAAGTACGCAGTACGGGAGTGGGCAAGTAAGAGGGGGGGTGGGGAGGGGGAAAGAAAAAGGTTATGGGAAAGGGAACAAGAATACGTTTTTCTTACTCGCCAGCGTTTGGTAAACGCCTACTGGGTTAAGTTAGCGATCACGTGCCTAATCACGTGGCACCTGCGTGAACCTGTGGTGAAGTCTTTTATAAGTTCGACGTTTAAGATTGTGATTTGAACCGTGACTCCTTCCAGTTGAAACTTTATAGTAAGAAAGGGACTCAATAGAAAGTAAATCGATGAATCGGTTTGTTTCAAATTTTTAAATTATCTTCTTCCAGAGTTACATTTTCCTCCATAAAAATGACCAACGCTACATCTCGGTCGAGGCTCTCTCTTGGTATTTTGTGCTTCATCTTCTATATTGGACCTGATTTCATTCGCCTGCAATTCCTGATAAGAGAATGCATTTATTAAACGTCTCTAAGAATATTTTTCCCTTTAACTCAGAAAACATAGCTACAAAGTGTGTCTGAAAAATGGTGGGGGAGGGGGGCACAAGATAGTTATTCCGGCATACTACCCCCAAGGTTTCTTAATGAGGTTATTTGCAATACCTTGAATAAGATATTCTTTTCCATTCTCGCGTAAACGGAATTACTTTTCACTTGTCCTAGCCTAGTTTTGCGAATAAACCTTCTCTATTATTCGTATAAGGATTTATTACAATTTGAAACCCTGAGAATAAGCTTTTGCCTCTACATTGATGAGAAATGATATTTATTTTATGGTAAACATTCATTCACCTCATCAGAGAGAAGCTGAAGCCGATTTAACACCTCCTCAGCTCTCCATTGTCTTGGTTTGGCGGACAACGAAGTTGTTCCAAGAAAAAGGAAGAAACCCAGAAGCAATATTTTATAGTTCATTGAAATTCGAAGCACGTTGTTGAAATAGACCTGTGCAAAAAAAAAAAAAACAGACCTGTGCTTATGTTGACCAAGTGTGTGGAGCTGGTACAACTTGCACCAAATGGAAACGTTTATTGTCTCCTTTGTTACTAAGCTTTTTTTAGCATATTTTGTAGGGAAGCTACAGGTGAACTGCCTTAATTAGTTAGATTAGTCATTTAATTTTTTTCTTAATCAGTCATTCAGTCACTCGATGACTCGGTCATTCCGTCTTTCAATCATTGAGACATTCATTTATTCATTCAGTCAGTCTCTCAGTATTTCAGTCAGTTAGTCATTTAAGAAGCGCTTTTTCGACTGTGTGACGTAAAACCAGAGTAATCTCAACATCCAATTAGAGGAGAGGAAATTACCTTTAAGAACCAATAACAAACCAAAGTAAAAACAAAAAGCGCGGGAAAACGCGGGCGACGAAGTCGTGATTGGTTCTAGTTTTGAATCTAATTGGTTGAGAGAGCGGCGCGAGTTTTCTTTAATAGCCAATGAGAACTCAAAATAAAACTCGCGGGAAAACGGGAACAACCAACTGGTGATTAGTTTTAGTTATTATCTGATTGGTGGATAGGGTGGCGTGAGTTTTCTGGACCAATCACAGAGCGACTTAAGCATGAGCAAAACTACCTTCGATTACTTTTCTCGACAATCAATTGAAAATCCATCTACCATCAATTAATCATTCTATCCATCATAAAATTCGTTAACTAATTCCCTGAGACGATAACATTGTCTCGCAGTCCGTGCTAGATGACAGTTACCCCAACACTAATAATTAATTCGTTAGTTCTCTTTCGATGTTTTCATTATACTCTAAAACGTCATTCAGTAGTTTACAGTTGTCGAGCTGCTTTTCCACATCAATTTATGGGATCCCTAGTTTGGCTCATAAATGAGTCTTTGTACACATTACAAGGAGCATTCTATAGTGCTTCATATCAGATTAGTCGAAAGTATTCTCGATCATCTCGATGGCTCTGTTTTTCCAGACATGTTTGTCTCATGTTAGTGTAAAAGACGTTTTCTCCTTCACAGAAGTATCTAATTTTTACCACTATCATTCGACAGAACTAAACGCTATAATACTTCTTTACCAATTCTGTTCACATCAAGGTGACAAAAGCTTTACTTACAATGATACAACTTAAAATAATCTGAAATTATTCTACGAAATATTGCTCGTTAAAGAAGTCAGTTTATCATTGTTCGTAAACCAGAAAAATGCTTTACAAAAAGCAGTCTGATATCAAAAAACAGCATGTAGCTCGAGAATTCCTTTCAGTTTGAAAGGCTTAATTTAAAATGGTTGAAACGGAGTACTTTTCAGGAGGGACACACTGCAAATTCAAGCGAATCTAAATAAGATGTGTATCCAGATGGACGAAGTTTGCGATTTTTTACGTTGTAGAATCAAGGAGCGCGTCACATGTTATATAAAAGTCATTGAACACTTCCAAGAATTTGTATCAGCGTGTTACAGTGACTCACCTTGTACGAAAAAGGACGTAAACTGGAACTTTACAAGAGATATCTTGTGAAAATGTAGGACTCGCACGAGACAAGTTCTCCCTTTTAAATTGTTCCTTTGAGAGAGGATTTCCGCTTTACACAATGACTTGTCCGGTAAATGTCTAACAACTGTCGCGATGAAATAACAACAGCAATTGATAATTCGTGTAATTTAGGCCACTTCGGTTAAAGCAATTGCGCATTTAGGAAAACTGTATTTACTCAACAATCTAAATATTTTCCATATCTTATGCGCGCTAAAATGAAAAAAACCTTCAATACTGACTTGTAAAAGAAATCGCCGACTTTCTTGCAAATCGTCTTTCAATAAATCCATTCTGAACTAGATGAACGAATTAGAAGCTAGCCATTTCTTCACTCAGATTGGAATTCAGAGTTATTCTTTAGGTCATTGTGGTTGAAAAATAGAACTAGGCCTCTGAACTAAGTTGCAAATTCTGTAACTATGGAACAGTTTACAGCAGTACTCTATGAGGAATTTCTCTTAGCTTTTGTTTTCTACAAGAGAATATAAACAGTTTATGTCCTCTTGGTTTTCAGTCAATACTGGCAACCGTACATAGTTAGAATCGATTTCAGGACTGTTTCTTTCATAAACTAGACTAAAATAATTCAATTTCTGTTCGTGGCATAGTATGTTTTGGGCTCAACTCAGAGGCATTTTAGTCCTAGCCGCTAGGCGAGGGTTAAAATAACTCTGAGCAGGGCTCAAAATATGCTTATGCCCAGAACATAAACTGTAACACTATTATTATTTCTTTGGAGGGCATTGGAAAACTAGAAATAGCAAAAAAAAATTACGAAAGAGCATTCTGAACAATTACACGAACATGCGAGCGGGCTCAAATATATTTTTTGCGGMAMMAARRRRAAATAATGGTGGATTCGAATTCTATTTTCAGAAAATGTTTTTGACATAGAAAAAAAGATTTATTTCTATAGCATAAAGAACGCCTTTGATGACAAAGAACGCATTGAGTTACCGCAATAAATGAAGTTTTTGATAATGAGCCTCAAAGGAGAGACATTTCGCGATGTTTCATAGAAATCTTAGAACAAAGGTTAGCTCATTGAAGAGTTCGACTAGAAAGCTTCCTCGTTCAGTTCAAGCAACAAGACTATACAGTGTGTATCTGATCTGTTTTAAATCTGCGTCACTTTAAGGACGCGTGTTAGGATCATTCTTAAAAGTGGTAACATTTTTTTCTTTTACTTTCCTTTCACCGCGTGGCATTTTCTGGCGTATTATTCAGTTTTACTCGCCCTTTGTCCTTTGAGGGGAACAATAAACAAAGGAAACTACGAATTTCCTAGATTGCAAAAGAGTACTTCTCTAATTATTTTCACCAGAACAATGACTCTATCGATGGCATGATTTGAAATAGGAATCCCTTCTATTTAGCAATATAAAATTCTATTTCAAAACACAAGTATGGTCTAAGTTCTGTGCGAATAGATTGTTTCCTTATATACGAGCTTTATTTCCAGCTGAACAATATGACATGATTCCGATATATTTTTCAAGGAAATTTAATATCATCTTGTTTGCCAAATTACCGGATTATTATTTCGCGTATTACAAATACCCTCTTTCATTTTCTGGAAGCTTTTCATATTATTATTTACTTAACCAGGATAGAACGTGACAATCCTTAGTGCTGAAGGACTAATCAGATACGTCACAATGGAGATATCGGCATGAAGATGAATGGGTTACTCCGAGGGGTCCTTTTCTTCAATTTATTTGATCCAAGTAGCAGCAGCAAGCATGGCAAGATTGAAGCATGGACGACGTAGAGAAAAGTCTCATGCTTGATCTCCCCTCACCGCGGTTTGATTCCCGCGTCACCTGTGTGAGAAGAAAAAAAAAACAAATAACAACAGAAAACAAACAACTAATAAGAATATAAAAGCACAAAAAAAAAAAAAAAAAAAAACAGGCTTAAAAACTCGGCAAGAGAAATTAACTGATACATGCGTGTACGTATTTTTTTTGTTTTGTTTTTGTTTATCATATATAGCAGTGTTGGTAACATGTAACTTTTCCAAACTATTCCATTTTCAAGGTGTCCATCAGTCAACCATGATCCCAGACCAATGTCGTTATATACTTCTGCTAGGATGGAAGGAGTTCAAAGTAAAACACACGGGTAAAAATCATTTTAATCAAACAAACATTGTATTTTTGATTTAACATGGTTCCCCAGTAATACTGTTCTGTAACCCCCTCTCTCTCTCCCCCTTAGTTGGGGCAGTTATTGGCAGTAGTTTTCTACAGCCTCTCCTACTATTATACTCTACTAGCGACGACTGACCCCCCTCCCCCCCCTTCGTTCGCCCTGAAATCCACCCAAAAATTCCCTGCCACCTTCCCTCTTCCATAAGATAAGTAATGATTAGGCCCTAAGGAACGAGAACTGGCGAGCAGAACGAACCTTTTTTTTTCTCCATTCGCGGATGGCTCCTCTCCCTGGTTGAAAGGATCGCGGGCTCTTGAGACGAGTGAAAACAAATCAAAATCAGAAGGGAACTGGGTTCGAAATTGATTTGGGCGGAAATACTAAATGGCGATCGATGTTGGCTTGAACTGAAACTAAGGGTCAATCAGCATCGTTTGCCACCTAAATTTCCCTGAAAATTGCAAAGGACTCTTCAAGGACCAAGGTACAATGTGCATCATTTTTTAATAATCTGACTAAACGGATCCAATGAAAATTGGTCTCGTAAATGTGGATCAAATCTGTTTCGAATATCGAACTTTTGATCTTTTGCATTTGATTCGACCTCGATAGTTTAATTAAGCTCGCATCAATTTGACAAGCATTTAAACATGTTTCAATTTTTTGTTTTAAGACCATTTCAACGCCATGTGGTGCCGTTTGAACTTTGAAGTCGTCGGCAAAGTCTTCTGTTTTATTTTACTGATATTACAAGGGGCGATTCTGGATTATTACCTCTACGAGCACCACGAGTTCAAATCCCTTGGATTTATTGCAACTGACGTTGTAGTGGTTGTCATATGGATAGGCGTGATGTTCATGGCAAAACGAAAATTCCTCTCCAAAAAATGGAAAAATCTCCGACGAAAAAAGGAAAAAACTGACGGAAAACCCCGGCCTGTAAAAGTAGCGAATGATGGTGCAGACGAAATCGCGTTTGTTTTTATCGCTTGGCTGGCATATGTTGGCATCACACTTGTCCCTGAGATAGCAGTGATTTTTAAAAGATTTGCTGATCAGCTTGGAGATGCCAAAGTATTTGGGCAGAACTTTCTTAAAGTTGCACTCTGTATCACCCCAATGTTATTTCTGCTACTAGTGAATTCACATCACGACGCCAAGCCCTTCTCTAAACGAAGAATCTGCATTGATAAACTGTCAGCTGGAGTTACATTGGATCTTCTAGACAGCATTGATATTTTGGAGATTTTGTTTATGGATGATAGAGAACTAAACCTTCCAATTGCATTGGAAAATGCAATAATTGCATTTGCATGCATTAATTTTTTCTTACCCACCCTAGCACTGCTTCAGTTGAGTGCAATTCTAAAAGGTGAGGTGCGTTCCACCACTTTTCAGATCATGTACTCAATATCATACATTTTTCTGGTTAATGTACCCTTAGGGGTCATCAGGATTGTCCTATGGACCAAATTTAACCAAGACGTGTCAGTGTTTATCGGAAAGAACATAATTGCTTCAGCCATCTACATGTTTGATATCTACACAACTTGTGGCCCTGAGCAACCAATGCATTGCCCAAGGTGTGGAGGATATTATGCACCAGATTCAGTTGATGGTCACAAAGCTGTATGTGCTTGCAATTCACTAGATGAAGATGAAGCTGGTATGCCAATGACCTCTCCCTTAACAGAATTACCATCTCCAGTATGAAAAGAGACAGCCAGCAAGTAAATGCATATGTAGAGGACTAGCTTAAATTGAAGGAAACACAGCAGTGGTTCTAATGACTCGGTGACATGCATCTAAGTTGTCAGAACCGATTTGTCTCACAGGTGGTGACAATTATTTTACATATTTTGTAGGACAATGGTTGTTTTTTTATGTTTCCCTTGAATTTTTGCACACAAAATAAATTGGTGTGCAGCTGGCTGAAAATTGTTGTCCTTGTGCATGCTAAATGTGAGACTATTGTGTTATTGAGGGTAAGGTAAGTAGTGTTGCCTTTAATCCTATTTAACCTATTGGGGTGATCAGCATCTAACTTCTCCCAACAGTGTCACCCTTGAATCAAACATTAAAGTAATGAGAATAAAGAAAATGACCATAAACTCAAAGTAGCTGGTGATTGTAATACAAATTCTCCTTGTAAGTACCATAGAAAATGTATAGTGAACAGTAATGAGAATATGCATTGTGATATTAAGGTGTAAAGGTTTGATAAGAGAAACTTTGGATAGTTGATCATTTTCCTTTGTTCTGTGTTTGGTCCAGAAAACTTATACCTTGCTTTACTCCATTCAGATATCAACACTATTAACGATTCTTGCATGGTCCTCATGTTTTGTTTGCCTTAACTTTATGGCTTTCTTAGAGTTCTTATTGGTGCTTGGTGTTTTCTTTTTTCCTTTGTTCCAATTGGCTGTTGTGATGTCAAATAGATGAAGACTGACTCCTATTGTAGGATATGAAATAATCACTGGAATTGTATAAATCATGACATTTTTATCACTTTTGCTTACATGAATGAGGTACTGAGGAAATCCTTTTTTTTTTTTTTTTCAAGACCATGAGCATGAGCCAGTTAGGTGCTATTTGTGGATGCTAGTTAACTCTTTAGCTCCCAACTTCTCAATACAGTAAAAACCTGAGATGGCAAGAACATTAGGGACTTATCATTACAGTAAAAACTGTAAAAAGCCGCATACAAGAACATGTGGATTAAGAACACCCAGGCTGAGATTTGGTAAAAAAGGAGCAGATATATAAGAACACATTCAGCCTGGAAATTGAAAATTGTTCTTATACATTGAAAACTCTTCCCTTTTCAGTTTAATAGAACAAACAGTTTCTGTAGCTTTGCTGTGGTATTGTACTAAGATCTCTGTATACATCCTAGTAATTTCACTTGCTGTGTATAGCAAATGTACTACAACTGTATTTGGAGTTAAAAGTCTTATAATTACAATTATAAGTTACGTATTTCATCATAGTTAGGAAATCCCTTACAATTTTTTAGAAGTAAAAAATTAAGAACACTTGAGAACACTTTCAGGCTGATTTCACCTCAAATACCCGATATATAGGAACCCAATCAGCCTGAACCCCGAAAATGGGTGTTCTTGTATGCGGGTTTTTACTGTTAGTAGTAATTCTCCTTTTTGTCTGCCATACAATTCTTATGCTATCAGTTTGAAGAATTTGGTATTGGATCAACCAATAATCACCTAATTGATATTTTTCTTTATTCTCATCACTTTTCTGCTTGATGTGGTATTGATATTGTAAAGAGAAATTCTGTCTTGGTTACTTTATGGGAGTGAAAGTGTTAATAATACATCATTCAGTTCCTCACTGAAGTGAGGTGTGGACCTTCAAGTATTTTAGTTAGGAAACAAAACTGAAGATCTGCTTTATTACAGACAGTGTTATTCTTTTAGCCTGGTTAATCATAAGATTTGAATGTACAATCAGTGATTACAGTTTTTAACATATTGTTAAAAGTGCTGTAGCTGTTTAGTCTCTGTCAAAGTCATTAGATTCTATTCATAAATTATGACCTTGAAGTGGATGAATGCATTCAATGTGCCAACAAGTTGCAAAACTGATTATACTTTGAGTCAAACTTGGCATAATGTGCTTTTATAATTTGTGTTGATTTATATATATATTTATTGTCTTTTTCTCCTTATCTTGTAACTGTGTTTCATATCTAGCTCAGAAAACCAAGAACACCTGAAATACATGCAGAATGTTTTGTGCAGAAGTAAAGATTTCTCGCACCTTGGCATGTTTCCGTAGGAAAATCACTTTCTGGAATTATTTCTGGTGTTTAACAATGATTTTCAGAATTTTATTGTAAACTGTGTAATCTAGCATCGTGTTCCTTGAGAGCCTATGGCTTACATCAAGAAAGTGTTAAGTGAATTAAAATTTTAGCATTGGTATTTAATTTTCTTGTCTCTGGAAGTATGTGTAAGGAGTGGGATGTAAGAAAAAAAAATAAAAAGTGTATACATTTTTACACAAATGAGAAGTTGGCCGTAGCTCTTCTTTATTTTAGCTTTAAGAATCATAAAGGACTTCAGCTTTTTCAGTTAACTCAACAATTAATTACCAGTTTTTTTTTGTTGTTGTTGTTTTCACTTTTACGTGCTAGTATGTGGTATTCCGTTTTACATGGGAGAAAAACAGGCATGTACTGTGTTGTGTGCCGCTGTAGACATTCTTACCGAGATGTAGTGCAACCCGTGTGCAAGCAAGTTCCCTTTTGGAGTACTTTCAAGAGCTGCGAGGCGGTGTTATACAAGGTATTTAATGTTTTTCTTTCTTTGTATCTTAGCTTGTTCCTGAATCAAAGTTTGTATGGTTGCCACAGGTCAGGAAAAAGTCAGGGAAAAATAATTATCTTTAAGATCAGAAGATCGAAGATGAGCAAGAAATGTCTTTGAATACGTTCAAAACTCAAACTAGCAGGTCGTCTAGCCTGCGAAGAATATGCGCTTGTTGTAAATATGAATATTTCAATTCAATAAAGAAAAGTTTGAATTGAAGCAATGCATTTGGGAGGAAAACCCTAGACAAACTGGAATTATTTTCTTTGAATCAAGAAAAGAATACCACAAGATCGCCGTCGGATAACTAACGAAATGTTGATGCAATGTTGAGGGAATTAAAGAACGAAATAGCTGAAATCAATTGATCGACGGCGGCGAAACACCTGTAATGTGTCGAGATTGCGTGACTAAACGCTCGCGCAAGCCGCGTTTTTCCTAATAAGGCACACGAAGTCTATTGCAACGTCAAATCGTCATGGCAACGAACACCTGTCTCAGAATCCGACTGCGTTTTGAACGAATTGGGCGCGGAGATTTTCATCGCAAATTTGCGTGAAATTATTCAAAGTAGCAAAGAGAATTCGTCAACAATGGCTTCAGTCAAAGAAGGTAAATAGAAGTTCGACCTTTGTTTTGTCGTATTCTTTTCTGTTTTGATTCATTTTTGTGTGGAACGAAATCTTTCGATTCTCGATCGTAATCAGTGGGTTTTATTTTTCTTATCGAATGTGCGTTTTGGTTTTCCTCCAGGAGAGATCCGGCAGGCTAGCCAAGAACAGGTAAATATAGCATTTGAACAATTTGTATCTAGTTGATACTTTTGTTAAACTGTTTTTTCTGTTTGTTTTTCAGCAGGACTTATCTGAGAACTGGGTCAGTATTAGAGCCTTTGATTTTTAGCTTTGAAGAACACAGAGGTCCGCTAAATGAGTCATTGATTTACAACACAATTTTAAAAGTAAAGAGGAAATTTATGTTTTGCTGCATTTTCAGTCCGCAGATTGCAAAGTGTCGGCTGCTGAGCAAAGCGCTGCTGTGGGTGGAAAGGAAGAAAGGTAAAATTAAAGGGACAACTTTTAGAAACTCTCAAGTAACCACAATTACTTCCGAAAACGGATTCCAATTTCCGGTCAGCGGTCACCAAACAAAGATTATGTCTTCGCTCAACTCTCTTGTAGAAGAGAGTTGAAAATTCTGAGAAATTTCCCGCCAAAACATTTCTTTCATCAGATTTTTTCGCGCTCAAAAAGAGAAGCTTGCCCTTTTCCCTTTTCCTAATGCAACTTCGATTTTTTTTTTTTTCTAACTCTTCTATCTTTTTCCTTTCGCATTCGACGAAAACGTGCAGCGAGCCCTCATGGAAGGACAAGCGGAAGATCAAGGTGGGCGTCGCCGCATTACACAGTTGTAAGGACACGTGGTTAAAGGTTAAATGATCTGAAAGACTCCCATCCGATTCACTCAAGAGAAAGATATCTTTATGTACCTAACCTAGTTTCTTATGCTTTTATTTTCTCATAGTCAGGAAATCGTTGTTTAAATTTAGCAAGTTTGTGGAATATTTTTTCAAAGAACAAATCTTCCATTCAGTTTTTAAACCGGCTTGTATTCGCGTAGGTTTAAAAATTAATTATATTTTCCTTACTTTGGGACGGGGGAGGGTCGGGGGATTTTGGTTGTGTCACGATATAACTTACCTGCATGGTTCCCAACCCCTCCCCCCCATTCACAAGGCTCTGTAATATTCCTACTCTTGTGCCCCCCTCCTGCTTATGGGCAGTTAATCAGAATCCAATTTTCTTTATACTGGAAACCATGTAATCCCCTCCTCCCCTCCCCAAATCCTCCAAATCCTCCAATCCCTCCCCCCAGGTGATGGATAATGACTGGTTGCTCACTCCAACAATATTATTGTTCATTACAGACTTTAGAGGAAATTGACGCTCAGCAAAAGAAGCAAATAGAAGCGCTAAAAGCTGAACTTAAGTGAGTATAAACTCAAAATGGGCCAAGTTAAAGTGTGACATACTGGAAACAAAATTGCGTCAGAAGCTCATGATCGTCTTCGGAAACTTTCTGAACATCTTCGAAAGTCTTCGGGTGCCTTCGGATATGATCGGATCCCATGACAAGTTCTCCAGCGTTTAAGGGTTTTTCTCCCGCAGATTTATTTTAAACTGTCACAAACATGGCACGATAAGAAATCTCTTTATGAGCTAGGCTGCAGTTTTCGAAGGAGATTTTGTCCTTAAATTAGCACAAGGTGTGAATTCTAAAAGTATTTTTGTTCTCTGTAGAGAGGCAGAAAACGCTTTGGCAAATCAAAAGGAAACAAATTGCCAACTCAACAAGCAAATGGTGGATCAAGAGAGGTGAGCATTAGATATAAGGAACTATTTTCTCCTGCAAATTTTTAGACTGTTATATCATGAAATACCTCACAAGGCACCAGTAATTTCTCGTTAAATATACCAGCCACTGCTCTGGACACGAATGTACACCCAGAAATTACAACTGACAAGAAGGACGGAAATTCTATGGTGTTTCACAAACTGCTGTAAATCTGTTTCACATTATACCATAAAATAAGCAGTAGCAAAGATAGGCAATGAACATCAGCGTCTATAATCTGCCATGTTCGCTTTTTAAGCCTTTGTGTTTTCAAGCGCGTGACTCAGCTCGGCGAATTTTCGGTCACCATGTTGAACGCGTGGGAAACCTGGAACGAGTGACAAAGCGAGGGAGAAGAGGGGAGGGGAGAAATCCTCACATAGCGTTTAGTTTTATACAGCAAGGTGAACTACGCATGCATTTTGATTGGCTTTTAATTATGATCTAGTGGAGGACAGTTAAACGCATTTTTTCTTGATCGTAAAAAAAAGGATTCTACGTTGCTCTGGTTCTGTACAATAATAGAACACAGACGTCGAAATATGGTAAGAATATCAGCGACACAGGACTACACATATGTCCCTGTGCAACTTTTTTTGTTTTTAACAAATTTGACGTCATCTGCGGGATCTATTAAGGAACATACGCACAGCAACATGGGATATATTTGCTAAACAACATATTAACATAAAACCAAACTCAAGTCAAATAAATTTATTGCAATGTATTATTTTGGTGAGGGAATAAAGTCGTCTGACTCGATTGAAGTTTGGGTCTAACATCGTCGAATATTCAAAGATCTCTTTATAATCAGTTAAGCTTTATTTTGTATAAAATGGGGTGAAATACTGCAGCTGTTCATAACGTCAAGAGTAAATTGTATTCTTATTAAGGGAAGTTTACAATGCATCGATATATTCACTCTTGTTATATAGGAAAATACGTGATAACGACATCTTAAAAGTGGAGTTGAAAAAAGAGGTACGAGTATCTAGTTTTAAGCTCTTGGGCTTTATTCGATGGAATGTCGTGAAACTGAAATTGAACCAGAGTAAAATTACTACAGCCCATAGGAACAAGGTTAATTATATATCTTGAGGAGCCAATAAGAACTTCCTGAGGCGAGGAAAATGCAAGTTAATGCGTCACAATTGTCTGGCACCTTGTAGCTGATTGGTTGGTGAAGTGCATGGCGCCATCGATTTCTCTGAGCCAGTCACAGACGGAGTGAAACAGAAGCTGGGATATCCCGGATTACTCTCGACTCTCGTTTTAATCACTCTGAGCGTAATTCAGTTGTTACAGCTACTTTGATTAAATCTGGGAAACTAAACTAATTAAGATCACAATAGTTGCTCTGCCTCAAGTAAAAGACTCTACCAAGAGCTGTTTCTTCTTTCGCAGTTGAAAGAGAAGAAGGCTTTAGGAAAGGCTGTGTCCGAAAAGTAAGATTAGCTTTTGTTTATTTATAGTTATGTAGGTTCTAAAGTACAATGATTGTTCGGGTTGTATCAAAACTGGTTTTACTTATGATCTTTTACCACGTCCGGAATTTTGTTAGGAGCATCGCAAACTTAAAAAACCGTCAGCCATTATCAGTGACGGTTATTAAGAAGCGATTTGTAGTTTAGAACAGCTGTAAAAAAAAAAAAAAAAAAAAAACTCGCGCGACGCACTTCGTCCAAACAGAGGGACTGTTTGCAGTCTATCTTGTCTACATCACTTATCTTTAATGTCTACTAAAAATTTAAATCGTAGACTAATTCTCCGTGATTTACAGTGAATTTGAAATGTTTACCGTTTTAAGGTTGGAGAAAGAACAAGAAAATCTGCATAGCTTAGGTGTGAAGTTTAAGGATGCACAGAAAGACGGCTGTAAAGTTAACCATACTTTACAGGTATGTGGTGGAATGTAAGAGTTTTCTTTGTTGACTTCAGCTGTAAATGTTACATTCGTTAAGCCCAACATCCCCCTAAGACCATGGTTTGTAGCATTCGGGGACTGGTGCTCAGTAAATTTGTTGCGCACGCGTCGTTTTTCCTCTTTTCTCGCACTTTTGTAACGAGATTCAAGAATGGGGAAACTGCGGTCAAGAAAAAAGAGCCAATCACAAGCATCCTTGAAAAAGAAGTATCAAGAGGACATATGCTGAAGCCGGAAATATGAGTTCTCGAATGAAAAGAGTTTTATATCTAATTACAATCCTTGTTGCCAGTGCAAGAATATTATAATTTATTGTTTGCTGTTGTTCTTTTTCTTTAGCAAGAAAGAAGAAAAGGCGATCGGTAAGTGTACTTTCACAAAGTTGTATGGTATGTTAATTTAAAACTTTAATAAATAAATTGGCTTATGGCTGTTGCCAACATTGTTCATCGCTATCGATTGCGTTGAACAAAAAGGAACAGCCGATCCAGTTTCTTCATGCGAGGGGCTTTAGGTCTAACAATGTAATATTCTAAGGTAGCCTTTGAAGTCAGCGCGACCCGTTTTTTAGTAGCAATCAATCACCGCCTCCTTCTCCCCACCCCACACCCCACCATTGTCTTGAGCTAATTTAACGCCCAAGGATACCACCCTAAGGCAAATGTTGTTTCATCGGAGAATTCTCGCCTGACTCGAAACTTGCCGAGTCGCAATTTAAACCATCCGATGAAAAGTTCTCGGATGATAACAAACAATAGCGCCATTGTCCTGAGAAATTTCAAACCATTATATAGGCAAAGTTTGATTGGATGACTGTTGCGAAAAAAAATAAATAAATAACCGAAGATTTATATTAATGAATGGGCGTCTGAAAATAACCTGGAATGATCTGATTAATTTAACCTGTTTTTCGTATCTGATCTCTCGCGTTAATTAGAAAAGAAGCCGAGCTCAAGGAGGAAATCGTAAGGCTGAGTGATGAACGTGCTGGGCTGCAATCCACTCTCACAAATCTCACCAACAAGATAAACGAACAGAGGACTGAGATACAACAACTGCGGGTTGGAAAGGAAAAGCTTGGGGACAAGTTTTTCCAACAAGAGATAACCATAACTAAACTGGAAATGAGGCTTGGCACGGTCAGTGAATCAAGATTATTATGGGAATAGTGGTGCGGCGTCGCGACTTTGAGGGGACACATGCTTTTCAGGGGAACAGGGTGGGGAACGGTGATCACTAACAGTGTATAATGAAGGGACTATAGAAAATTGGCTCCCAATGAGAGGGGGGTGGCATCTATTCTACAGATCCTTAGGGGGAGATTAGGTAAATTTTATTGTCACATAAAAAAATCGGAGGGGGATTGGTCGTCGCTAACAGAGTTTAATGGAGGTACTATGGAATGCTGAATCCCAATGAGGGGAGGGGACCCATTAGAATGCTATATAAGGTAAATTTTAGCGTCGCATATCAAAATCCTCCTCCTAAATTTTGTTGGTTGTTTTATTTTTCAGATGGACGCTCGCATTGGGTACATGCAACTGTAAGTGAAATTTAAATACATCCTCGGAACATTTTACTGATAGATTAACAATTTGTAGCCCCAATTTTGCTTCTTTTTTTTTTTTTTACGTAGAATCAAAATGAGTCGTGAGATTTAACCCAAAGGAATGACATGGAAAAACTATATCAATGACAGATTTATTGAGTTTCACTTATTATTAAATTCCGAGACGGTTGGATGTTAAATTTGATTGCTCGCTTGGTTCGGTCGCTGCGTTCACTATATAATTTCTAGTTTTAATTTCCTCAGACGTCATAAAACAGATGAAATAGAGAATACCTCGCGAAGATTACAGGTGAGTTTGATTATGCCAAGACTAACGGGACGAATAAATGGAGGTCCCGTCTCCTGCAGGGTTAGGGGTACGAGACGTTAATTTCCCTCGCACGAGATTACTGTGTGATGGATGTCCTCCCCTGGGGTGGGATGGCTGGGTTGTTGTCTTGCGTTTCATACATGAGCCTCTGGCTCGGGCAATATGGGTAACCATGCCCCAGGTAAAGACATTAAACTTTGATTACTGATTACTACTGTCAAAGATAACGACAAAAACAGCGACAAAAACAGCAACAGTGACATCAAAGTTCA